ATGCACTCAAGAAAAGCCACGAAGACAAGTGGGAGCGGGATGGACTCCTTCTTCTCCTGTTCAGAAGAAGCTGACAGTAAGCTGAAGGCGGGGCCATATAAATCAGGAAGGGTGCCAAGGCCTAGCAGCTTCTTGTACCATCGTAAGGCCTTGAGGACATTCTGTGAATTGGAAAGCGGGCCATCCTCAGAGGAGCGAGACAAAGCAAAGAAAGCGTCCAGAAAGAGGCCTGTATTGATTTCCTCCAGCTGGCCACCCAGTTCCTCATATGCCACAAAGAAAAGTTGAACTGAGCGCAGATACCTGGCAGCGGTGGTATCACTAACCTTGGAGAGAAGACGCTCCCTGATGGCCTTGCCGTGTTGGCTCTGCGCAAGCTGGGATAGAACGGAGCTGACTGAAGCGTGTGAATGGCACAATGCTGAGAAAAGCGCTGCGTTCTTCTCATTCAGCTCGCGATGACCATCCTGGCTGGTTGTGAAAGCGTCCTGAACCATGCGGGGCTTCTGTCTCACGCCGGTGTTAAGCGTTAAAGAGGTAGATGACATGCTGAGCTGTTCTGGGGCCGGCGACGGTACAGCAAATGAAAGCTGAACTGCTGAAGCTTGCTTCGGGTAGACCGCGTAGCTGGAGGAAGCTCGAAATGATGGCAGGGGCGTAGGTATCCTGATTGGCACTGCAGCACACAGCTGAGGTGGGACATGTTTGGGGCCAGCTCTGGGTATACCAAAGCTAGGTCGCGGCAATGGCGCGGCTGCACTTGGTTGCTTAGCTGTGCACGAAAGCTGAAAGGGGGAATTGTAACGCAAGCACACCAGTGGGGCCCGCCAAGAGGATGCCTTGCTGGTAGACTGAGGCTGTGAGCTGTTAGTGGAGGAGCCCGAAGGTGAAAGCTGAAACCTAGAGGTACTCCTTGAGACCGAAGCCGAAAGCGCGCCCGCCTCGATGTTGTCTGTGCTGACCAGAAGCCAAGGTGTAGAGCCACTGGAACCCCCTGGAGAATCAATGAGTGGGGGAGTAGGGGGAGTCTCGACTGCCTGTTGCTTCCACCTCTTACGAAGTTTGCTTCTGCGAGCTTCAGCATCTTCTTCTTCAGAATCGTCATGGATAACTGCAGGGGGTGATTCTGGTACTGTTGCCGTGCTTTCAGCCGCTTCATGAATATCCTGCAAGTGCTCGCGGAAGCTTGTTCTCAATTCCTCCGACACTGGAGCTTGTGTGGGGCCGGGCCCTGTATCCGAGAAAGCCTCGTCGTCGGCCATGGTATCCGGGAGGTGTTGTTCCGCGGAGGCGGGACGCATCTCTCAGAACCAGATACGCAAGCGCTGAACAGTTTCAGACAAAGTCTCTCTAAGCAGGGTTACCAAAGCCTGAAGCCGAACTGAAAGCCGTTGAGAACGTTCTTCGAGAGAATCCGTCCTATCAGAAATATGAAGGATCCACCCCCGACCTTGGTTGAGCTCGTCGGCTAGAAGTTGTAAACGGCCGTGAAGTCGACCAATTTCCAAGCGGTTGGCTTGGACTTCAGCCTGTAGCTCGAAAACTCTTTCCTGAAGCAGCCGAAAGTGTGCCAAAGAACCAGCTTCAGTTGCAGAACGATCGCTGAGAGCCGGCAGCCCGTGGTCCATGCGGCCGGGGGGGCGGGCGCGGCTGAAAGCTTAAAAAGGCAAAGCTGACGTGAGGTCCTGAAGACTTAGCCAACAAAGGCAGCAGTAAGCTGTAGAAGCTC